CCAAGAAGTGACGGCAACAATGTAATTGAATTGCAGACAGAGATAGAGACGGACAATTGAGTCAAGCACGTGAGTCGTTTGTTGTGAATTATAGCGTTTGTTTAAGTTATAGCGTGACTGTGGAAATTAAGTGTCTTGCAAAGTTGTATTGAGAAAGAATAAACTAGTTTTATTTAAGAAAGGACTTGTATCATTAAAGTTTCTTCGGAAAGAATTTTTACGGAAAATTAACAAACGAACAGAGACGTAACAATATATTTCTTTCTTAACGTTTCTACAGACTGCCTTCACTTGTACATTGTTGTAACTTTTAGGCCTAAGTAACTTTACAAATGATGTTCAAATGGAAATACCTCGCCAGTGGTACTACAATTAACGTAAAAATAAACTTACTTTTACAATTTCATGGCTAATAAATACAGTAACAGACTCTACTCGATATCTAACACTTAAAACAGAATATTTCACTGAGTAACAGAATCTACTCAATATCTAACACTTCACTGAACTAAGTGACTGGTTCACTGTTTACTAATTCTTGAATTTATAACATAGCTTTATATCTAAACACTTTGAAAAGTCTCTCAATCACTATATTCCAGAATGTTCTAGGTATTCTAAGACTAGTTTCACGTCATTGCCCTCTAGTTAACATCTAAATTACTGAATTGTGAAGTCCTTTAAGCAATTCCAATACAAAAATAAAACACTACAGTAAACTGTCCATTAATCATATCTTTTTGGTGGTTTTCTCTTTCGAAGCACATGGTGTACAAATATAATAACCTTTTGTCCTTTGTAGCCATTAACTGTTCTGTTGCTGGGGTTCTTCCTAGGTAGATGGTCGAGTTAATTCACTTGCGGCTACATCCTTGTTGATTCTCTGAAATGGTCTCAACAAAAGCCCTAGACTCTTAAACAAGTTTATTTTCCACTGAGAAATTCTTCTTTGGGGTTACCTAGTTGGATATTCTCAAACTGATATACTTCCAAAGACAATCATGGTGGACTACTCTTGGCTTCAACCACCTGTCCTTCCATGTTCTGTAATTCACATCATTGATTATTTTCCCTATGGAATTCGTTTTCTCTTGTGACGAGAAATGTTCAGTCATACCATGTCAACATGATGAAATCCAGTTTTCATCAGCCTTAAAATCCTTTCATTTCATCACAAACTTATTTAAGTCTTCCTTGAGTAAAGTCATGTCCAACATCATTGTTCTTCATATCTATCAATTCCACACAACTTGCTAGAGTGCTCCAGTCACTAGATGAATCATTATTGGTAATAACTCCTGGTATGAGTATATATGTGACTTATTGGTGGTACAGTGGACACCCTATTGTCATTGAAAGTTTACCTCTTCTGTATGATTTGCCATGTAGTATACAGGAATTTCTTGGTCATAGACTGAAATTATCTGAATTTAGCCTAACTTTGCATCCTTTTCTTTTCATGAAGTAAATTCCTAATATGCACCCTTTCTCAATATCTATTACCTACACGTCATGAGGTGTACAAAAGCTTCTTACAGTAAGGATAATTTCTAATTTTTCTTTTACTGGAACTTTATGCCACTGTTTGCATCAATCCCCTTCTTTCTTCATCTTTGAAAGCAAATTTCCATCCTTCATTAACAAATTTGGCCAAACAGTTGTAGCTGTAGAATCAATGTCAGTCAACCTATTGAAGGTTTTCTATCAAAAAGCCCATGCACTCCCAAAAGAGTTTCCTCAAATAAAAATTATTTTCTCATTTTATGTCTCATTAGCTTTTGTTGTACCTTTGATATGATAGTGCTCTGAGACACATCCTCATGGTATTGTTTCCTTGACTTAATAACTGCTGTTTTTCCTTACAGTCTCTACTATAATGGTCATATTTCCTATATTTATAACAGTTCCCTCTTTCTGGTGTCTTTTAGAAGGAGTTCTTCTTCCTTACAGGCTTTTGTGTGCAGTTCTTGGCAGTATATTCTTTCAAGTTACACTTCAAACACTTATTGTCTTGTGGTTTATTTCCTCCATTTTGTGTAATTAGTTGTCTAGTTAATACTTTTAGTTCTTTGAGACTATCGTCAGAGGGGGTTGATGTTTCAATAGTACACAATCTGAGAATATTGGTACTTCTAAATGTTGTCTTTAGTTGTTCTTCTGTGACTTTAAGGGATTATGTTTTCATTGCCAACTATAGGGCTTCTTTTGATATTGTATGCATGCTTTACTTACTCCAAATTCTCATATCCTCATCTGTTACAGTATCCATACAAACTAGTCATGTGTTAGTTAGTCCATCATTCTACAAGGGGCATACAGGTAAGATTAGTGGACAGGTATTTTCAAATATTTTGCAACTTCAGCTAAGGTATCTTCTTTCCTCTGTATCCTGCTCTGAATATTTCCCTTTGATGTGTCACTCTGAACCTATTGGATAAAGCATTTAGCAATGCTCAATAGTTGTTATGACTCTCAAATGGAAAATTACTTAATGTTGTCAAAGCTGATACTTTTAAATCGGCAGCAAGATGAATAGCTTGTTGTTCACTGTTCCATTTATTCACGTTGGAAACTATTTCAAGCTTGGGATAGTTCCAGAAACGTGGCGTCACTGTAGTCATGTGACTCGCTGACGCAACAGTATCATGGGTGACATATCGTATCTTGGCGAATGCTCTAGTATTTGCTAGATATAGGGTAGTTTGGTATATATAAGAGGGGACAACGTGACGCGGTAATGTGTGTATAGACAGTGAGTAATTGAACTGCAGTCAGAAGTATTGTAGACGTTCGTTGTTACAGCGTCTGTTTAGCGCGATTGTTGAAGTTGAGTGTATCGGTAAAGTTATATTCGGAAAGAATAAACCAGTTTTATTAAGTAAAGACTTGTGTCGTTAAAGTTTCGTCGGAACGAATTTACGGAGAGTTAATTAACAAACGGAGACGTAACAATACCTTTCCATCATACTCTGTTGGTTTCTCAATCAGGCAGTGTTGTTGAATTGACTACCGAAATTTTGGAACTGGATTTGATAGTGACATGACTTGAGTAGTTCAGTTAGTTCCTATAGTAGTGGTATTGTGTAGACCAGATAAGTTCACATAGTCTATATTTCGTAGTAGATGGTATTTTATGTTAGAAGGCTTAAACTAATGGAGAAAGAGATGTGGTTGGTTTAATCTTTGCATTTAATAATTCATTTTCCAGATGTTTTATTCTGTCACCGATGTTCTTTACTTCTTCGTTGATGTGTTTCTGTAGTTTGTTGATGTCATTATGTATTTATTAAATTTTATCATTACAGCCTTCTTGTACTTTTTTATATCCTCCAGCATTTCTTAATACTTGTTATATGTCCCCTGTATATCTCCTATAGCTTCATAGATCTTGTCTGTAATAGGTTAATTTTTTCTTAATTTTTCTTTAAATATTATGTCTCATTCTTCTAATTTTCTTTCTATTTCTTCTTGGTTCTTCTTTTAATTCATTGTGTAATTCTTCATTTAACTGTTTCATCATTTCTAACAATGTTTAAATCACACTTCGGAATGTGGTAATATTTTGAGTCAAGATATATTTTTTTCACCAAAGTAATCACACTTCTGACACCAATATTTTAATGTGTTCTTTCACTGGGTGGATCATTTTAAATGCTCCCCAGTGGCACAACGGTATGTCTGTGGACTTACAATGCTAGAAACCGAGTTTCGATACCCATGGTTTGCAGAGCACAAAGAAACCATTGTGTAGCTTTGTGCTTAACTTCAAAACAAACAAACGAAAAATCATTTTAAATAACTTGGTGAAAATAAAGCCAATTAGAATTCACATAACCATAACAAATTAATTATTTCAGCCTTCACATTAGTTACAGGGTACAATCCCTTCTAAACTGTTATATGCTCTAGTTCAGAAATAACGTTCTCACTTTTAAATACACAGAGATTTACTCACTAATGGTATTTCGACTAGTGTACAAATAAACTTGCTTGTACAATTTCACGACTATTTGATTGAGTAACTAACGCAAGTATGAATATTTCATTGACTTTTCAATCACTGAACAAGCTGACAACTAAGTACCTCACTGATTCACTGGCACTCTATTAACTGAAAAACTGATTCAATGCTTCATTTATTCAGTAGTTATAATGTAGCATTGTTTCTAGACATTTTGTAAAGTCTCTCGATCATAAATATTCCCGAATATTCTAGGGGTACTTTTATAAACCTACATAATCCTTACGTCCTGTGCCCTCTAGTTAACGTCAAAATTAAAACAGGGAAATATAGCTTGCAATAATATTTCTGATTCGCGCCATTTTTGTTATTAATATATTATTTTGCCATAGTTAATTTTCAGTGTAAGTCTGTACAGAGATAACGTTCAGAACCTTCAGTACTTACACTGTTAGTTAGATTTATTGGTATGTTAACTTTTATTGATTTTTAATTTTATTGGCTTTACTTCTAGATAATTGCTTGAACAAAGTATGTCTACACGAAAAATTAAGTGGGTTACTGGATTATGCCTGTGCTCCATGGTTTGTAAGTTGTACTTTTTTGGTATAAGTGTAAGTTGTAACTCTTTTAGTGTAAAACTAAAAGTGATATTATATTGAGTCCATCAGTCCACTGCGAAATTCAGATATTTTGATCTTTTTTCATTTTGAAAATAATTACAAATTTTACAATGTACGCTTTACGCACTATTCAATACTTGTTACTATTACTAAAGTATTAGTACCAATTTACGAATACTATCACTGTTTGCTAACTACGTGGGGAAGCCAGCCTGGACTATAAACAGAAGTTAGTAACACTTACACTATCAGTGTAATGTAACAATTGCCTACCCATGTCCTGTTTTCGTTACATTAGCTCATCCTATTTTTTCTATCTTGTTTTTAAAGGGTGTGTTCAATTGCGTAAACAGGTTACTTCTACAAAAGTTTAAACGACTAACTCTCGTAAGTTGTAACTTATATGTTAATGTTGTACTAATAGTAAAACTAGTAGCAGTACTAATACAAATAACAGTAATTGTGTTACTGTTACTAATAGTACCTAACGCTGCGTTTTTATAATAAGGTTATTAAAGGTAAAGTAAGCCTCCATTGGAGCTGTTGTAGGATTGAATTATTTTATATATGAATTTGAAAATAATCTGTTTATTGAAACTTTAAAGTTCAAGGAACTGTATGTTGTGTTTATCGAGTTAGGCTTAGTTTGTTTTGTATAGAGTTGTTGAACGGGGAGCTAGTCCTAGTAATAGTATGGCCAATTCAGCACCACCAAACTTACTGCACTATAAATCATATTTATATTAATACAGCTAGGCTCATTAACTTAGAAGTTTTTCCAAAATAGCAAGATTTTCAAACTGAACATTGATTGGTGCAAGTTTATCTTGGTTTTTGTAAATAAGAATTGGTGTGCTAACATTTACAAATACATAAATTTTGATGTTGAAAAACAAATAATATATGGCATGGTTATGCAAAATTATGCAGTTCTAAGTTATTTAGTTGTAAAATAACTGATATGGAAGTGTTCTACCGATTGTGGTATGTTATTGTTACGTGAATTTTACCCAATTTTAGAGAAGTAAATATTTAGGATAAAAAGTCTTCCATAGCGAACAACAATGATACTTGTATTGTTATTGATTTGAAATACTAGCATAAGAAAAATTTTCTCTGTTTTTAATTTATTGATAGTACATACATCTCTTTGTTTATTGTATAGGCATGAATTGTTCATATTTCATTCCTTGCATAAAATATTATGCATTCTCCTTAAGTAATTGGCTCGGTCTCATAGTTTTAATACCTACATTCATCACAGTAAGGCCTCTTTTATGGTTTTAAGGTTTCCATGAAATTTTAGATAAAGATTTTATATATTTTACATTTCTAAACTGGTATAGAAAGTACATTATCAACTTTATCTGCCAAACTAAGTAAATGTATTTTCAACAAGCAAAAGTACCCGTCCCCAGTGATGGGAAAAGTATCAGTTAATGTAGCAAAAATACCAGCCTACAGTGACGGGAAAAGCTTAAGTTAATCTACCAATTTAAATTATTTCATGGACTAAATTATTTCATGGACTCGGAGAGAAATCTCTGAGCTACTTATACCGCCCACTGCATAAATTTATTGTTGAGCGTTTCAATCATGCTGAAACCCGCTAAACAATAACATACGGTAAATCTACATTTTTATTCTTTAAGTTACGTCACATTTTGAAGTGTGAATAATTCCTAACTATTTAGCGTAGCATATCCTGCTTGTGAAATAAAATTTGGCATCAACAGTATTCATGCCTGTTATCCCGTCATTTCAAAAGTGAATGTTGGACTTTGCCTGCGTGCACACCTTTTCAAATGGGAGACAGACACCATAGTTTACAATATATACAAGATCACTTCCTGAACATGTGAATGAAATGATTAGTGTATTAGATTACTACTCCACCTAGTGTTTATATTTCATCTAACTTAGATTGTGTAGTTTTACATTCTAAGGCCTTATTTCAGTTTGACATTATTATACATGGTTTTTTCTTCTGGTTGAAGGTCTTACACTGTTATCGACACCAGTATAAAGGTTTTTCACTGTTATAGACACCAGTATAGAGGTTTTTCATTGTTACAGACACCAGTATAAAGGTTTTTCACTGTTATAGACACCATTGTAAAGGTTTTTCACCGTTATAGACACCAGTATAAAGGTTTTTCACTGTTATAGACACCATTGTAAAGGCTTTTCACTGTTATAGACACCAGTATAGAGGTTTTTCATTGTTATAGACACCAATATAAAGGTTTTTTCACTGTTATAGACACCATTGTAAAGGTTTTTCACTGTTATAGACACCAGTATAAAGGTTTTTCACTGTTATAGACACCATTGTAAAGGCTTTTTCACTGTTATAGACACCAGTATAAAGGTTTTTCACTGTTATAGACACCAGTATAGAGGTTTTTCACTGTTATAGACACCATTGTAAAGGTTTTTCACTGTTATAGACACCATTGTAATGGTTTTTCACTGTTATAGACACCAATATAAAGTTTTTTTCACTGTTATAGACACCATTGTAAAGGTTTTTCACTGTTATAGACATCAGGTATTGACTATAGATTTGCTAAATATATTCTGGGACAATCCACTTTTACTTGGGAAATGTGTCTTGCATGTTTCTACTAAACTGGAATAGTTTTAGGTTGACTATTTCACAGGTTTGACTTTGTGTAGTTTTGTAGTTTAAGTATACAAGTGTAACTTATCCATCTGTACAAAACACTGCAGCCTGTCTCCTCTGAAGTGTTGTCCTTTAACTCTGTAACTGTTACTAATCTTATTTCTTCTCTGAAGTGTTGTCCTTTAACTCTGTAACTGTTACTAATCTTATTTTTCCTCTGAATGAAGTGTTGTCTTTTAACTCTGTATCTCTTACTAGTATCTCTTACTAGTACAGGCATGGCTGTACTGGTAACCCTATTTATCTAGATGATACAAGTTACCAATCTTCCATGGCTGTACTGGTAACCCTATTTATCTAGAAGATACAAGTTACCAATCTTCCAAGGCTGTACTGGTAACCCTATTTATCTAGAAGATACAAGTTACCAATCTTCCATGGCTGTACTGGTAACCCTATTTATCTAGAAGAAACAAGTTACCAATCTTCCAAGGCTGTACTGGTAACCCTATTTATCTAGAAGATACAAGTTACCAATCTTCCATGGCTGTACTGGTAACCCTATTTATCTAGAAGATACAAGTTACCAATCTTTCAAGGCTGTACTGGTAACCCTATTTATCTAGAAGATACAAGTTACCTAATCTTTCAAAGCTGTACTGGTAACCCTATTTATCTAGAAGAAACAAAATACCAAGAAGGGCAATTACCTGAAACATTAATATTCTGTTTCATAATTCTAGAGTAAACTTTATCAAGATGTTTTATGGCTTAGCTATAATTCAACTTACTGGTAAATCATAAAACAGGTTAAATATGTTGTTATATTAAACACATAGAATCTAAAGACTAGTTCACTGTCTCTTCATGTTTGAGGACTATCTTGTTCACTTGACTTTAGGTACATTAGTTTAAATTCAGCTCTAGATAGGTTATAAATCAGGTACTGGTATTATGTAAACATCAAATAAAGTTATTGTCTCTTCTGTATTAAATATGTTGTTATATTAAACACATAGAATCTAAAGACTAGTTCACTGTCTCTTCATGTTTGAGGACTATCTTGTTTACTTGACTTTAGGTACATTAGTTTAAATTCAGCTCTAGATAGGTTATAAATCAGGTAAGTACATTGTATTACTAGTATTATGTAAACATCAAATAAAGTTATTGTCTCTTCTGTATTATTAATATTATACTTTATTACTTTAATTTTAAGATAAAATACTGTAATATATTTGATTTTCAAACATGGGTTTAACAGTATTGACAATAGACTACTGGTATTGAGTATTTATTCCCAGACTACAAATACAATGGTTGAGACTAGTGTAGGTGTTAAGCACTCACAGTTTGTTAGATGTAATGGGTGTAGTGAGTGGGTTTTATTTGTGAACTCGGGACTGGCATGTACTTTTAAGGAAGCTAGTAATGAAGATGTGCAACTTGTATGTGGAGTTTGTAGGTTGGAGAAGATGTTAGAGTCAATCATAACTAAAGTAGAGGCAATAGATAAAGAGAAGTGTAGACTGTGGGAAATGACAGTAGGATTCCAAGAGGAGCTTAAACTTTTACATTCAAGGCATACATCAGCTAACAATAACTCTTCAGGAAAGTTATAAAGAGTAATATTAGGGCTAAAAGTGGTGAATTTAGTTATAATGAGCCTATCCTGTTGAGTAACAGATATCGGCCAATGGCTTGTGCTGATGAGGAACTATTGGAGGAAAGGAAACGAAAGTGGTCAGAGAAGGATGTGGATGATAAGGAGGTTATAGTTATAGGTGATTCTTTGACAAGGCATGTGGATAGAATAGTCTGTGGGGTAAATAGGGAGAAAAGAACCTGATAATGCTACCCAG